GGATAGGAGCTGAGAGCAGGTGGAGACGGCATCACAAGGGGGTTTGTTAAACCCCTCTAACACAACAATACAATCAAGATACATCTGCAAGAATGGAAGGTGGACAAACCTTGTATACCGATGTTGCTCCCAACTGATCTTAGAACTGGGGCCGAGAGTTGCCAGCCATGGCACAACGAAAGGGGTCTGTCAATCCCCTCTGACACGGGAGGGCAATCAATGTAGGACCCAAGCATGGATGGAGGAGAATGTTGTACCACAAATGTAACAGGAACACTAGGCCTGGTTCCCAGCATGTATCGCTCCCCACTAATAAGACTGGAGCCACCACAAGGACTGACCTCCTGTCAGACATGGGCTCTTATCCCTTCCTGACGGTTGGCTGTGAAATTTGGTGCTTAAATCACTAGCACTTTTGTCGTTTCGAAAAATAGCGCGCTTGCGACCTTTCAGGAGGACGAAACGAAACTACGGCTGCCGATTAGATTTATCAATGGCAGCCGTCGTCGGGCGGCCGAATTCTTCGAGAGCTGGCGTTTTCCCTCATTTCTGAAGCAGCAAAGGTACTAGTGGTTTAAAAAAAAAAAAAAAAAAAAGAGGGGTGAGACGCTCTCCCTTGTAGATTGCAAAGTTCCTGAGAGTCCACAAAGTCCAGAGGATGGCACCTCGAAGCGTCTCCTCTGGATTTGGCAGAGAATTTCAACCCAAGCCTGAGGCAAAAAGTTTTTTTTCGGTTCCCCCCCCCCCCCCCCCTCTGGTACAGGGACCTTCCCTGGCTCTTGCCTAGCCGGAGGCCCCGGGCAACAAAGGTGATCCAGGTGGCCCGGTTGGTAACACAGACAAGTAATGAAGGGCTGATACCATCTGTGTAGGTTGTCGTCCTGGGCTGCGTTGGAATCCCTTGCTTTGGACTTTCTCTGTAGGCGTCTGTTCATTTACAAAATTGCTGCTGGTTCCTCCTCCCCTGCTGTGATTTGGGGCTTGGCTTTTTGCCAAGCAGGCCGAAAGGCCTAGTGCTCTATTTTTAATTTGTTTACGGCTATGCCTCGGGCAATAAGTTATATGGGGGATTTTTTGACATTGATTAGGGGCGATGGTTAAGTGTCCGGTGCTAAGAGGCTTCTTGATGTTTGCTTTTTTCTGATTTTGGTGGCTAAAAGCCACAGTGGGTAGGGCGACTGATATGTGTATCAATGAGATAGAGCCCGGATGTCGGCCATAAGAATTTAGCTTTTGATTGAAAGGTAAACAGGTCTGTGGATGGACGTTTTTCCCAGCCGGCACTCTTAGAAGTTTCGAGGCCAAGTACCCTTTACTATGAATGTCCCCAGCTTTCGGGGCAGATGCGCTTGTCTTTGTGTGAAGGTGTGCTTGTGAGCGGGTTGGGCTAGGTGTGAACAGGCCCAGTGGCGGTAATATAAGTAGGACGTGATACCGGGCTCAGCCTCTCTTGGTGGTATGAACGAGGATGTGATGTGACAGTTAAACGTTGCGCTGGCTGCAGGGCAGGCGATGGCCACAGATAGCGGATGGTGGGTGCCCTGGCATCCTCTCTGTCTTGATGGCAGTGTGCATGACTGTGACGCCCAACCTCACGCCCAACGTGACTCTCTATTTCAGAGTGTTAGTGGGCCTGAAAGTGCGAAGAGGGGTGTGCCAAGGATTTTAGGAAGGTGGGGGTGGAGTTCCAGGTCGGAACTGGAATCTCCTGTGTCAAGTTTCAGGGGTAGAAGTGCAAGTGGTTCTTTTAGCTGAGGGCTGGGGTGAATGTCGTTCCCGAGTCTGGGGCCATGGCGAGTCCGGGGTACGAACGGGGTGTGACGGGTGGCGCTGTAGGAATGCCTGTGCCGTTGTCGGCCGACGCAGGCCTCAGGGTCCAAGTCAGACAAGGACGAACTAAGTTGTAGCCGCTCTGTTCGGGGGTGAGTCTATTGCGTGTTCTCCGTCTGTTCGTACTCGTTGGATCGTTGGCACTTTGGGCACGGTGGTCGGGGCCAGGCGGGGGCTATGGAATCCCAGGGAACAACCAGCAGTCGGTGATACGGGAGGACGATGTAGTTAGGAGGGGAATCAGTGGTAATGGCGACGAATCCCGAGGTAACAAAGTACAGCTTGTTTCGGCTGTCGGGATAGTCGGGAATGCGCGTGTCTCGATTGATGGCCAACTGGAAATCGCCTCTGCAAAGTCGTTCAGTTTCCGTCCGCCAGGGGTACTCAAGATGTTGCAGGTTTTTCTGTCGGCGGTTCCCTTGTTGTCTAATTTGCTGTTGTCGGATCTGTTCTCTTTCCCAATACGCTCTATATTCCAGATTCCTCAGGCTTTTGCGATCGCTAATCCAGAAAGGAGTTTTGATCACCATATCCTGATCAGCGGGATTTGAGCACACACCTCATTCCTACGTGGCGGGTTCGTAACTGGCTTCTATATGCGCGTGCGTAGATGGCGAGTCCACTGACGGGTTGTCGTCCTCCACGCGCGTATACACCGGCCGGTTAATCGGATCCTAAGCTGCACAAATTATCACAAGGCCATCTATTAGGGATTCGGTCCAGTTATGCAGTCAGCCCCGTGTGCAATCACCTCAGTCCCGGTACAATTCAATCAGCCACACACCTCATTCCTACGTGGCGGGTTCGTAGCTGGCTTCTATATGCGCGCGCGTAGATGGCGAGTCCACTGACGGGTTGTCGTCCTCCACGCGCGTATACACCGGCCGGTTAATCGGATCCTAGGCTGCACAAATTATCACAAGGCCATCTATTGGGGATTCGGTCCAGTTATGCAGTCAGCCCCGTGTGCAATCACCTCAGTCCCGGTACAATTCAATCAGCCATTCCTCCATGCATCAAAGAGAAAGATTATTGAAAAAACAAACATACATACTCAGCAACTCCCATAATCACGCACACAGATCAAAGACGAGTGATCGGACCAATCACACGCAATAAGCGCACAGGCCAGATCGGAGGTTCTCAGGCTCGTGGATCGATACATACATTGCAACGATGGATACCAGAAAGTGACAAAATTTGAATTACGCTAAGCTACTAAACAAGACAAAATTGAAAAGCGACGACAACTCGAGAGAAAAGATGCGAGTCCATTCATCATCATGCATACATGCACACAACAAAAAGTCCAAGAAAGTTCACACAAGAAATCTGAAAGTGCCGCAGCAAAATAGACCTTCGTTGGAATCAAAATTTATACAGAAAGGAGGGAGGAAAAAACACAGTTCCACCAAATCCCTTGTCTCTATCTGTCTGTCTGTCTCTCTCTCTCTCTCTCCCTCTCTCTCTCTCTCGATGCAGGCAGTCCGTCGCCGCGCATCCCAAAGACCTCACAGAGTCGTCACCCCACTTAGTCTGAGTGTGCAAGCCAGGTTCGCCCGCGTGCCACAGTCCCTCGCGGCCACACGTCAACCCCGCGCGCTCAGCACCAGCCCGCCGGATCGCCCAACTCTCTACTCACCGTCTTTCTGCACGTTAGTCGATCCTCTCGACCGCGCTAACTCCCAAGTAGATTAGAGAGAAAATTAATCGCGCTTGCAGAATTTATAGCTTGCTCATCAGCGCACAATAGTCAGGATTGCCAGAGGAACAGGAAAGAAGGGAGAATGGAAGTCCCTACGAGTGCGTGACAAGGCCGCGGTGTGGGGGACGTAGCCTCACTCCACGCTTCGATCCGGCATGCATCGATCCGGCCATGCATCGATCTGGCCAATGAGGTAGACAGTGGGGAGCGTAAGCAGCGACGCGGGAAGGGAATTTCAAGAACGGGGAAGATTACAGTTACACCTGCGTAAGAGGGGATGGACTAAGAAGAGATTACAGTTGAGATTAGAATTTAGGCGCGGCGGAAACAGAGCGCAGGTCCCTGTGCAGCAAAGCGTGCGTAAGCGGAGGCAATGTGCGGTTGCAAGCAAAAATTACGACGCACCTAATTTCCTAGTCTAGTTAAAGTCCTAATTACAAAAAGAAATTCCGAGAGCCCGCACGGGCTCGTTCCAAATTCAAAATTTCGAAAGAATTCCCCGCGCGATTATCACGCCAAAAAGACGGATGCCTGATTTGAAAAAGAAAGAAAATACAAGAAAAGAAAGAGGCCATAGCTGAAGTTGTTCCCCCGCGCTCGCTAAGGCGCGGGCCTACTATCCCTAACCGCTGCCTTCTTTCCCCCGAAGAACCAAGGAGAAAACTTCGAAAAATCAAGGAGGGGCTGCCATGCAATTTATCCTTGATCCCTCTATGTACCTCCTTCATCTCGGTTGCGCAAAAGATGGCGCCTTACAGAAAGTAGCTCATCACATATGTGACGCCTAGGGGGTTCCATCCTCTGCAAGCTCCCGTTTGCACCCATATCCCACATCCCTTCGGAGGAAAGAAGAGAAAGAAGAAGGAAGAAGAAAATACAAGTTCGCCCAGATCACACGTGTCATTACTGTGGGATAGGAGTGTGGATGTCATCCAGTCGACACGTCATTCAAGCCGCCCTCATCTTCAAGGGTAGGGGAGTCGGAAGATGGCCGGGATGGGTGGGGGAGGATCATTAGGGAGAGGCGGTACGAAATTCACCATCCCCATCACCGTCTCGGGTAACTCCTGGTATCTGATGATGCGATGAATGCGCGGGAAGCGATTCCCGCCTTCAAGGAGGGAAGCAAGATGATCGGGGTAGGGGGTTGAAAAGGTGCGAAATAGGGCCGCGCGGAATTGCTCATGATCTGCGCACACGGGGATGGTTCCCGTGATCTTGCAATAGACTTCGATGGCTTCCTGCCCTCGCCACGCGGCGCTGAAAAGAAGAACCTGAAGATAGAAGGAAGAGGAGGCGCACGGGGTGGTGGGTTGCGGGTATACCGTGGCAACGAGGCGGGTGGCGTAGAATTAATAGAAGGTCGAAGGCGAAAAAGGATTGGTGGGGAATGCGCTCGGAGTGTCGATTTGGGAGAGCGTGAGGTAATCAAGGGGACGGCGGGATAGGGAACGGGGACGGATTCCGACGCTCCGCATTGCCACGAGCTCGAACTGAGGGACGGGGGGAAGGGGAGGGGAACGGCTTCGTTACCTCCGCGTCGCCGCGCCAGAAGTCTCTGCATGAGGGTGCTCATCTTCTTCGACCGGCGGCTCAGGATCTCTAGTCGGATCGTCCGGAACAGGCAGATCTGCTCCCACTGATTGCTCTAATGGCCGCTTTCCCTTCGCGATCTCCGCTCTTCGCCGCTCGGCCTCGGGATCCTCCTCCTGGGCTTTCGCCCGATCCGCCTCTTCCTCCGTGCTTACCCCCTGCTTTTCTTCTTCTTCTTCTTCTTCTTCTTCTTCTTCTTCTTCGCTCACCGCCCCCGACTCGTGCTTACTGTGCTCGTTGTAATTCTCCTCTTCTTCGGAGGTTTCTTCCTCGTCTTCTTCCTCCTCCTCCTCCACCTCTTCTCCCTCCTCTCCCTCTCTCAGGTTGAAGAGTTCGTGCGTGATGGCCTGGGGATTCAGATAATCATTGTGCGACGGGTAGTCGTCGTTGTCCGAATCACCCGCCAAGCAGGCTGACCATTGCAGATACGACACTAAGCTGCGCGAGAGGATGTGCGAAACTAGACTCTGGTCGCGGTGCGAGATAATGTCGAGCGGCAGATCATCCAGCAGCTCGGTCAGGAGGATCAGCAGTTCGTTCATGATCGGCCGTCGATGGCCAGGCTCGACCACTCCAAAGACGAAACCCTGAAGATCCCCCTTCGTGTCAGTCTTCCAAGCTTGAATGATGAGCAGATCGACGTTCTCACTCACCTCTCGATGCTCGCTGTCCCCGGTCCGCGTCAGATCGATATCGACTAAGCACAGAGAAAGAGTTGCATAAGTCTGCCACCACCTTAGCCACTTCTCTGGTCGGATGAGAGGAAGGATAAGCGGGCGTACTCAGAAAGAGAGGCGAGGATGGAGCGCAGATTGCTAGAAAAGAGGGAATGCAGAGGGGAGGCTGAAAGTAGAGAATCTGGGGCAGTTCATTGGGGGCGTGGGAAAGGGACGAGCTCGGGGATGAGTACCGTCGGTGCGTGTCGAAGGAGGCAAATGCCGTGTGCGTGTCAATACTGTCAGTATTGACGATGTTCTCCCCCCGCTGCGCAAGCATCTGACTCCACACCCTCGACGATTGTGCCCCCCACTCTCACAACGAGTTAAGAATAGCCGTATGCGTCCTGGAATCGAGCGGAGTGAGATCCCCGCTGAAGAAGACAACTATCGAGATGTGAGCGGTCCCTCGCGCCGAGAGCCGTCGGTAAGCGGACACTTCGGTCAACATGTGTGACCTACTGTTGGGGACCACGAATCCGAACTCTGCTGCCTCGTGTACTCCTGCCGTGCTGAAAAACTAAGCGAATCAGAGAGCGTCCGGGCTGATGCGCGGATGATGCACTTGCCGAATCACCGAAATATGCCCACGTGGCGCCAACATGCGCTCGCTGAGTACCTGCTCCGTGGAAAAACTCATGGCGAAGGGGAGGGAGAAGACGAGTGAGGAGAGGAAAGAGAATGAGGCTCGTCACTATCCCACCCAGACTCCGAGATCGAACCGGCTGGAGAAGGAGGAGAAGAAGTTGAGAGATGGTGGAGGTAAGACACGTGGCAGACGATGGGTCTGGCCGATCGACTGCCCGACACCTCAGGAGCAAGCCGCACCGTGTTCACGCCTTTAGGACCGAGCTCGATCACTCTGAAACACCCGTAGAATCGTGGCACTAGTTTACCCTGGCGCGCACATTTCCTCACCTGCACCAAGTCCCCCAATTTATACTGGGGCCGAGGGCCTGCATTCCCATTTCGGGCCTCATAGCTCCTGACCTACCGACCGTGGGCCAATTCGGTCATTCACTGCCTTTTCCGGGCCAATCTCGGAAGGGCTCGCTCCATGAGGTCCAAATGGTGCTTGGCCTTTTCCTTAGCCGTCGCTCGTGTGAGACGTCTGTCCAGTGTCTTTTCATCATTTAAATTCGGTATCGAGACACAAGATAGGTTATTGAAACGTAGCTGAAAAGAGGAAAGCCCGGTAGATTCATGTGGGGTCCCTCGGTGTAGAGCTAAAATGTGATCTGCAATATCGGACCACTGTCGCGTGTCCTTAGCTGCGATATTCCGTCGAAGCGCCGTTTTAATTACTCGGTTGGCATTATCTACGAGGCCGTTCGATTGAGACATATGGGGAGCCATGTTACGAATAGATACCCCATGTACGACCAGGTTCCTCATGACCTCTCCTCGAAATTCTGCTCCGTTGTCGGTAAGGATTTCCTCGGTGTCCTGATGCATCCCGAGGAAACGGTTGACATACCGCGCTATTTCCGTTGTCTGTCTTGTTCGACATGGGTAAGCCTCGATCCACTTTGAAAAGTGATCGACGAATACCAAGATAATTGAATACTCACAGCTATTCGGTCGAGGGGGCACGATAATATCGGTCGTATCCATACTGACCTTCTGAAATGGCCGTTGAGCTACGGTGGGCACTATCGACCTAGGGGGCTGAATTGGTGCCTTGTCGGCCGCACAGGCGGGGCAATTTTTAACAATATATTTAACATCGTCTCTAATATTGGACCAGTACCACTCATTTTTGTCGAAGGCGGACACGATAATTCTGACCGCGAAGTGGGCTGCCGTTTCTTCGTGGGCTGCGTTAACCCAGTCATACCTCATGAACGGGTGCGAAACTGTCATCCAAATTCCGCTCCCATCTGTTTTTCGTTTTTCTAACCGCCCCTCGTTCCATCTATAATCCCGTGCCCTCTCATTGGCCCGTCTCCTATTGTCCTTGGCGAATTCTCGAAGAGAATTCCCAACGCAGTTGCTATCAATGCGACGTCCGTCCACACTTCTGCTCGCCTATATCGTAGGGTCTTTTCCATACCTTCCGACGTTGCTTCCAGGAATCGAACCTCCGTCGGAATTTTATCGGTTCTGCACAGATGGAAGGGCCACTGCTTCTGCAGATTCCTATATTGGATACCGGATCCATGGACTCTAGCTACACACGTGGCACAATCCACCCACTCGACATACCCTTCATTTTTTGGTTTAACCGAAACGGAATGAATTCGCGGGATAGACTCACAAAGAAAACAAAAACGATCGGGTTGAGAAAATAGGGAGGAGGAAGAAGGAGAGGGAGGATCCTCAGCATTCCCTTCCACTTGAGCCGCCGTGGAGACACGTGTCACTTCCTTGTCCACCGAGGGAGAACTTTCACCTGGCCGTACCCGGGTCCCTTGGGCTGCTCCGGATCCTTCCACGGAGTGATCTTCTCGCCACGCGGCACCTTGCCTGGCCTGTGCAGACGCGTCAAACCGTCGACGTTCCGGTGCCTCTCAGTTTTCCGATGAACGATGTCGTAATCATACTCTTGCAGCCTCACCGCCCATCGCCCAATCATTCCTGTGTAATTCGTCAGCTTCTTGAGGGTCAGCAATGGCTCATGATCCGTTACAAGGAGGAACTTCTGCCCGTAGAGATACGCGTGGAAGTGTTGAATTCCCCAAACGACAGCGTAGCACTCTCCGTGAGGCACTGAGTCATTCTTCCTTTCATCTGGCACCGTCCTCGAAGCATATTCGACCACGTGCTCCCGTCCGTCTTTCCCTTTCTGAGCTAGGATAGCGGAGATAGCCTCAGTCTGCTAGTCAGTAATGAGTAGGAACTGGCGCTCGGGATCGGGCCGGATTAAAATGGGGGCCGAGGCCAGGGCCTCCTTCAAAGTGTCAAAGGCCTGCTCGCACTCCACGTCCCAGTTCAGCGGTGGGTCTTTTCGTAGGAGGTTCGTCAGGGGCCGAGCGATTGTCGCAAAGGCCTTGATAAACCGTCGGTAGTACGAGGCCAGTCCCAGAAGGCTCGAACTTGCGTCAATGACATGGGCGTGGGCGCTTCTCGAACTGCCTCGACCTTCCTCAAGTCCGGTCTCAAACCACCTCGGGTTACCACGTAGCCTAGAAACGAGATCTCGGACAGGAATAATTCACTTTTCTCCAACGCAATCTTGAAACAGCGCGCCAAGTGTCCATTCGATATGTTGCGTGTGTCCATGAAACGATTCAGAATATACCAAAATATCGTCCATGTACACGATAACACAAAAGTTGACCATGCCCTGCGTTAACCTGGTCTTGTTTACAAAATTTTGGAAAGTGACATTCATTGCACGCTGAAAAGTCGCCGGCGCATTGCATATACCTATAGGGCATCGGACCCACTGCCACGTGCCCTCGAACAATACAAACGCCGTCTTTGGCCGATCTTCTTCCTTCACAAGGATATGGTGGAACCCATGCCGAATATCAAATTTACTAAAATAATTTGCACAGCCAATCGCATCGAGCAAATCATCAATCCGAGGGAGGGGGTACACATCTTTGATCGTGATATCATTCAATATCCGATAATCGATGCACATGCGAATAGATCCGTTCTTTTTCGGAACCAAAACTACCGTGAAAGACCAAGGACCTATAGCGGGCTTTATCCAACCATTAGCTTCAAACTCCCGGATTCGCTCAAGTGCTGCCTTCCGTTCCGCCAACGAGTATCGATAAGGCTTGCAATGAATCGGGGGGTGAGTACCGGTCTGAATCTCATGCTGGATTATCAAAGATAGTCTGATGTCCGCGTCATCAACGCTGATAGCACCCCGATATTCCGTTAGGATTTCTGCAATGAGGTGGTGGGTTCCATCGGGCACGTATTTTGGTACATGTAACTCGTAAGGCCGTCTGTGAATATCGACTGTGACGTGTTTGGTACGTACTGCTTTCGAGTCCCGGGGGGGCGGTGGCGAGATGAAAGAGTTGTCCAACCTCCACAAGAACATGGTGGCCACCATCAGTGCTTCCTCTTCTCGGATGGCCACGTGTTCTTCGGGGGTTATTCCATCCGCAATATCCCGGGGATCCACCGATTTCTCAACAATCTTTATCCCGACGTCAAACAGCGAGGCTTCGGGGCACCCAGAGGGTTCCAGAGCCTGTATCTCCGCTCCTGGACGCAGCAATCGTATCTCCTTGTCTGTGGTGAGAAGCGATCGGGGAGGGGACTCTGTGACATCGCAAAAGGACCACTTGTCCACGTATCGGGGGAGCAACGGGGTAGTGCCCTCGTACAGGGTCTGAGGGGGTTCCGAAGAATCGGGCAGCCTCGACACCTGTATCAGGGGCTCTCCTATGATCAAAGCTCGGGTTCGTTGGACATTCTCCTCAGTCAGCACAAATATCTTTGTCGTTTTCTGTCGGACTGGATAACGGATTACCCTCCGTGTCAGATCTTAAATCGCGGGGTCTGTGTCGTCCTCGCTTTCCGAATCCTCGGGAAGCGGGGACACGTGCTCCTCACTGCTAGTTTCTAAGTCCTCGAGGGGTCCGTCCTAGGTAACTGTCCGAATCGGCCCGCCTACCTCCGGGTGAGATCTACGTGGCGGGTTGGTAGCCGTGCGGAGGGTGAGGCGCATGGGGATGGCATATGGCTTACCCCCGATGTTCTTGATAACTACCTCCCGTCGCTCGAAGTCCAGATTGGCCAGGAGGGCGTTTAAAGCTGGCAGCCCGATGAGTACATCGTATGAGTTAACGTTAAAAACTACCACATTTCCCAAGGCGTGGACTTTTCCCAGTTTAAAGGCGACATTTGTCATTTTTCCCACTGCTCTGATCTTTTTCTCATCGGCGGAGATCAACCGGTCTCCTTCGTTGAGTGGGATCAGATCCTTCCTTCTCCCCGCCCGTTCCACTACTCGCAGGGATATTGCCAACACGGTTGCCCCGGAATCAAGGATCGCGTTGTAGGGGACCCCCCAGATCTCCACGTCACACTCTGCGGACTTCCACGAGATCGCTTTGATATGCAGAAAATGATCGCTTTTCTGGAGGAGTCCCAAACGCACAGGTTTTGAGGTTCCAGGTACGTCCGACTTTGTCTCTTTACAGGAGCCTTACCTTTGGCTGATGCCAGCTTAGCAAGTGCAAATCGCTTTCGATTGGCCCTGCAATGTTGGAGCATTCGGTCGTTAGCTTGTTCCGATATGGACAACAGGTGTCCAATCGGAAGCGGGATGCGGTGGTCTAAGGCTCGGACAATGTCTAAAACATCGATCTTTCCGGTGACGAACTCGGGGCCACCGGATTCCATCTCACTGGGGGATGATCGCCTTTCCGAGATCTGTCGCGCATCATCCGCCGGCAGGATCGCCCCTATCATTCTGAGGCCTGGATATCCCAAGGAGATAAATTGATCTAACGGGATGAGATCCGCGACTTCTTCGATTACTCCGGCGGTCGGTGCTGACCCGTTCGTCTCTTCTACCATCGTGCCCACCCGTCCAGGGGCTCTCCTATGATCAGAGCCCGGGTTCGTTGGACATTCTCCTCAGTCAGCACAAATGTCTTTGTCGTTTTCTGTCGGACTAGATAACGGATTACCCTCCGTGTCAGATCTTAAATCGCGGGGTCTGTGTCGTCCTCGCTTTCCGAATCCTCGAGAAGCGGGGACACGTGCTCCTCACTGCTAGTTTCTGAGTCCTCGAGGGGTCCGTCCTAGGTAACTGTCCGAATCGACCCGCCTACCTCCGGGTGAGATCTACGTGGCGGGTTGGTAGCCGTGCGGAGGGTGAGGCGCATGGCGATGGCATATGGCTTACCCCTGGGGTTCTTGATAACTACCTCCCGTCGCTCGAAGTCTAGATTGGCCTGGAGGGCGTTTAAAGCTGGCAGCCCGATGAGTATGTCGTATGAGTTAACGTTAAAAACTACCACGTCTCCCAAGACATTGACTTTTCCCAGTTTAAAGGCGACATTTGTCATTTTTCCCACTACTCTGATCTTTTCCTCATCGGCGAAGATCAACCAGTCTCCTTCGTTGAGTGGGATCAGATCCCTCCTCCTCCCCGCCCGTTCCACTACTCGCAGGGATATTGCCAACACGGCTGCCCCGGAATCAAGGATCGCGTTGTAGGGGACCCCCCATATCTCCACGTCACACTCTGCGGACTTCCACGGGATCGCTTTGATAAGCAGAAAATGATCGCTTTTCTGGAGGAGTCCCAGACGCACAGGTTCTGAGGTTCCAGGTACGTCCGGCTTTGTCTCTTTTACATAAGCCTTACCTTTGGCTGATGCCATCTTAGCAAGTGCAAATCGCTTTCGATTGGCCTTGCAATGTTAGAGCATTCGGTCGTTAGCTTCTTCCGAAATGGACAACAGGTGTCCAATCGGAAGCAGGATGCGGTGGTCTAAGGCTCGGACGATGTCTAAAACATCGATCTCTCCGGTGACGAACTCGGGGCCACCGAATTCCATCTCACTGGGGGATGATCGCCATTCCGAGATCTGTCGCGCATCATCGGCCGGCTGGATCGCCCCTATCATTCTGAGGCCTGGATATCCCAAGGAGATAAATTGATCTAACGGGATGAGCTCCGCAGCTTCTTCGATTTCCCTCGCGGTCGGTGCTGACCCATCCATTTCTTCTACCATCGTGCCCACCCGTCCAGGTCCGTTAGCCAAGGGAGCTGTAGCTGCCAGGGCTGCCCCTATTCGTACTTGCCGCTGGGGGCAATCCCTCGCCATGTGGCCGGGGTGATGGCATGCATAACACGTGTCAGTCCTAGGGGTCGTGCTTACACCCGCTCCCGCAGCTGCGCTGGCAGGTGCCTGGGTGGCGAAAGGGGCAGAGCGGACGTTAATGGGACGCATGGAGCGCATTAGTGATTCCATGCGGGCATTGTACTCGCGCTGTTCCTTCTTGCTTTTTTGTATGAGGCTTACTAACGTACGTGTAAGGTCCAGCGCTGAGTTTGATTCGTCTACTTTCTTCGTCGGAACGGGCGTCGGAGCAGCCGTCCTGGGCGTCGATGGTCCTGCTCCTTGATCGGGAGGAGGTCAATGGATTGTCACCTGTTCCAGGTAGGTGACGGGGCCTGACACGAAGCCCATGTTTTCGAACTTGTGTTGCAGGGTTGCTAATTCCATCCTCGCGCGGGTCAGTTCTGTAGAGTCACCTTCTTTAGCGTGATCTTCCCCTTTGAGGAAGCTGGCAGCGAACTTTTACTCCATTTCTTCTGCTGCGTCCATGATTTGTGTCAGGGTGAAGGTGATGGGGGAGAACTGCTTTGGTATCTTCGCCCATGTCGCTCTACTTCGAAGTTTGTCTATGAAGAATTCCCTTCCTTCCTTTTCGTCTCTCTGAGATTTTACAAATAGTCGATAAAATTGGCTGCGATATTCCGCAATGGACTCGAGGGGCTTCTGAACTCGATCTTTAATCATAAAGAAGGCTTGTTCCGGGTGGATATAGTCAACCGGTGTAGAAAGCTCCTCTCGAAGGTAGGGAGGTCAGTCCATACGTAAGTACTAAGCCCGTGACGGGCGTCGCCACCTAGTCGGGCAGGGATATTAATCCTTGCCTTGTCATTATCGTACTGCTGTGCTCGGAGCGTGGCAAGCCATGCTCCTGCCAAGTGGTGCGCTGGATCGAACAGATACAGATCGGGCGGGGCTGCCGGAGGGCGTACACGTGCAGGCTGAGGCGCGGGCTGGGGAGCAGGCTGGGGAGCAATCCCGTGGCCGCCACCTCCGCCACCCTCAGCCTGATTGGCATGGGCCTGATTGGCGTTTTCCGGATTGGCATTCATATTATTTGCCAATCTGCTTGCAGACCGGCTCCTTGTGACTACAGGTTCGCGTGCCGACGCGTTCCTTTGCCCAAATCGTCCTCGTTTTGAGGTCGCCAGATCGGTTGAGCTAGGAAGCCGAGAAACTTGTCAATCCCTTGTCCTGACACGTGTCGGCTCCGATACCAACCTCACGCCCAGCGCGTTAGTAGGCCTGGAAGTGCGAAGAGGGGTGTGCCAAGGATTTTAGGAAAGTGGGCGTGGAGTTCCAGGTCGGAACTGGAATCTCCTGTGTCAAGTTTCAGGGGTAGAAGTGCAAGAGGTTCTTTTAGCTCAGGGCAGGGGTGAATGCCGTTCCCGAGTCTGGGGCCGGAGGCGAGTCCGGGGTACGAACGGGGTGTGACGGGTGGTGCTGTAGGAATTCCTGTGCCGTTGTCGGCCGACACAGGCCTCAGATTCCGAGTCAAACAAGGACGAACTGAGTTGTCGCCGCTCTGTCCGAGGGTGAGTCTGTTGCGTGTTCTCCGTCTGTTCATACTCGTTGGATCGCTGGCACTCTGGGCACGGTGGTCGGGGCCAGGCGGGGGCTATGGAATCCCAGGGAACAACCAGCAGTCAGTGATACGGGAGGACAATGTAGTTAGGAGGGGAATCAGTGGTAATGGCGACGAATCCCGGGGTTACAAAGTACGACTTGTTTCGGTTGTCGGGATAGTCGGGAATGCGCGTGTCTCAATTGATGGCCAACTGGAAATTGCCTCTGCAAAGTCGTTCAGTTTCCGTCCGACAGGGGTACTCAAGATGTCGCAGGTTTTCCTGTCGGCGGTTCAGTTATTGTCTGATTTGCTGCCGTCGGATCTGTTCTCTTTCCCAATACGCTCTATATTCTGGATTCCTCAGGCTTTCGCGATCGGTAATCCAGAAAGGAGTTCTGATCACCATATCCTGATCAGCGGGATTTGAGCACACACCTCATTCCTACGTGGCGGGTTCGTAACTGGCTTCTGTATGCGCGCGTGTAGATGGCGAGTCCGCTAACGGGTTGTCCTCCACGCGCGTATACATCGGCCGGTTAATCAGATCCTAAGCTGCGCAAATTATCACAAGGCCATCTATTGGCGCTTCGGTCCAGTTATGCAGTCAGCCCCGTGTTCAATCACCTCATTCCCGGGACAATTCAATTAGCCATTTTTCATGCATCAAAGAGAAAGATTATTGAAAAAGCCAACATACATACTCAGCAACTCCCGTAATCACCCATACAGATCAAAGATGAGTGATCGGACCAATCACACGCAATAAGCGCACAGGCCAAATTGGATTCTCAGGCTCGTGGATCGATACATACATTGCCTCGATGGATACCAGAAAGTGACGAAATTTGAATTACGCTAAGCTACTGAACAAGACAAAATTGAAAAGCGGCGACAACTCGAGAGAAAAGATGCGAGTCCATTCATCATCGTGCATACATGCACACAACAAAAAGTCCGAGAAAGTTCACACAAGAAATCTGAAAGTGCCGCAGCAAAATAGACCAACGTTGGAATCAAAATTTATACAGAAAGGAGGGAGGAAAAGACATTGTTCCACCATATCCTTGGTCTCTCTCTCTCTGTCTCTCTCTCTCTCTCTCTCTCTCTCTCTCTCTCTCTCTCTCTCTCTCTCTCTCTCTATGCGGGCAGTCCGTCGCCGCGCATCCCAAAGACCTCACAGAGTCGTCACCCCGCTTAGCTTGAGTGTGCAAACCAGGTTCGCCCGCGTGCCACAGTCCCTCGCGGCCACACTGTCGAGCGCATCGACCCGGGTGCGCACCTAGGGGGTGACGCGCACGAGGGTCCTCCCGGCCGTGTCACGCAAGACGCAACACCTTTCACTTTGGATATGTAATGACCGGGGATGCCGCCCCGGCCGAGTGCGCTAGCTATACTTCCCACGGTTCCCTGCGACAGAACAGGGCCTCGAGGGGTATAACCTACCTCCATCTAAAAAGTTGTCACCATCTTTAGGTGAGCGTATCCCTGCCGAGCTACTAGTCCGCTTTGGGAAGCTTTAACATGCTATACAAGAGGTGAACCAGCCAAGGGCGTTTCGTTGTCGCTGCAGCATAGAAAGGAAACGCGCGGTAGTTCGCCCTTGCGGCGGTAAGATGTGAAGTGCGGCCTAGGGCGCTGGACTCCTGGGCAATAAGGCCGATGACCCATAACTCTCACTTTGACAAGGAGGAGTTACGCAAGTACTATATATAACCTGCGAATTCTTGTGTTACACAAATATCCATGATGGACCTTACGGCGCTTGTTTACCCGGGACCAAAGATGGCCCTTAGGGTTTGGAACGATCCCTAGGGGTCTACCAAAATGCGTTACGGGGAAGTTTCATCGTAATGTTTAGATCCTCATCACCATCCGTGTCCTGCGAGTGGCGATGGGTACCAGTCACCAGAAGCACCCTCTTCCAGGGGGTTTTCTGGCGGACCGATCTTCTGGTGATGGACTAAACGTCCGACAACTGAGCGAAAAGAAGGATGTCTTTCCTCCTTCGACTATTGAGGCCTACGTGGGGCCTGAGGCCGACCACGCGCCCTTTGACCTGCTTTTCCATCTACCATATAACGCTGATCAAACTCCACTTTACTTTATCCCCTTGTTTCTTCCCCCAACTTTCAACCCTTGATTCTTCTTTGGCTTGGGCTCCCCAAGGTTACCCCACACTCGGGATCGCGTGATGTTTGAGAAGGGTTACCGAGCGACGTCTGGTCAAATACCCTTTCGCCAAAACCGAAACAA